GGGCTTGGCCTAGCGTAGAGGCAAGCCGGCTAGAGTCGCGTTAGAGTTTAAATGCACGTACAGGCGACGTGCATTGCCGAGACAAGTCAGAATTCCGCTGCAAGTGAAGCTCGGTTGAGGAAGAAAGAACCTCGCCTAAGGTGCGACGAAGCCACTAAAGGGCGCGAAAAGTGGATTTGGTGGAGCTAGAGTTCCTCGTAAGGTTGGCCATGGTCGAGCTTAGATCATGGCACCACACGGTTGAAAAATGTATGACCGTGACAATAAGCACGCGCCTCACTACACTCCAAGGGCTCAGATAATTTAGCAACATGCGGTTAGGGCCTTTGTTTCAGAAATTTGGTTTGAAAGAAATCAAAGAATTTTTGAAGATTAGCGGAGGGTTTGGATTGAATGTTATGATTTAGCTAAATTCAAGGCTTTCCAGTGGTGTTTGCTCTCAAATTTGTTCGTTGATTATTCTCTTAATGTTAATTATTATTCTTGGGAGGCTTTTATTTTTCCTAAGTTGCTTCTTGCACTGTTTCTTTTTATTTTCACTCCCTTGGAAGTGTATATCTTTGAACATTTTTTTTTCCTTTCATCTATCAATGAAAGGTTTATTTCTTGTTCAAAAAATTAAAGATAACTAGGAAAGGGAGATATAAAAGTCTCCCAATTCATACAAATATCATGTAAGAAATAATTAGAGAAAAACTTAGAAAGAGCACAACATTGAGAAGTCTTTAATCTAGTCGCTTCACAACAATCCATCTAATGCTTAAGAGAATGTTTAAAGAGCAGGACCTTGAGTTGTTAGAAGCCATCTCTTGGAATCATTGATTGTGGAGAGTGTGAGGCCCGATATGGTCCAACAATACTAACCAATTATCCACCCCAAAGCCCCTGAGTAGATTTCAACAAAAAGGGATGTTCTAACTATTAGAGAGTGGGCACGAGCCTCCATAATAGACAATCCCATTGTTTAAGGTCAAGGTGAAGGGTCTTGGAAACAAATCTGCAATGTGTTTTTATCCTTCCAACAATGCAATTGAAGCCTAAGTGCTAAAACCATCTCTTATAATTTGTCTCGCGTTGATGTTGAAGAGAGGACAAGTTTTGCAATATGAGACCAGTGCCGAAAAAGTTGGACTTGCAGGTAGGACGGCCTAGGGAGGAGATTTCATATTTGCTTCCAGAGGTCATCTTTGTCATTAAAGAATCACCACAACCATTTTATGAGGAGGGCCTTTTCATATTTTCCTCTAGTTCTGCCTATACATCGAGGCCTTCCAGGTCTTTGGGTAGAATAATTAGGTTTCATCGAGTGAGAACTACCATTTATGGAGGATCCCTTTCTAAAAAAAAAAACAAATACGTTTCTCAATTCTCTTGGAGAAAAAAATTGGGTTATGAGGGCACGGTGGTAGGAAACTTAAATAAAGGTATAGTGGTAGAAAATTACTAGTGTGTGTCATTCTACTAAAGAAAACATCTAGGGGGTGTTCAAGCCGTAGGGTGAAGTTGTTAAACCTTGAGTTGTTATGGGGAGTTAATTAGTTTGGAGTCGTTCAATCTGTGTTCAAGTTGCATAGTTTTTTAATTTGAAGTCTGTGTTGTGTTCAAGTTGCAGAGTTATTACGATTGGAGTTGTGTAAATTATTTGTGTTAGTTTTTTCTTTTTTCTTTTTTTGTTAAAACTACAGTTAAGAGTTAGATTCTAATAAAATTTTGTTTAAAATTTGTTTATGTTGATTCTAAAATTTGAATGTTAAGTTATACTATTTTATGATAATATTTTAAAATTAAATAGGTTATGATTACAATTATATATTGTTTATTTCATTTATTTCTATTGCATAATCTTAAAATTTTATTTAAGCAATGATAAAATTACTTTATTTTTTTTTATACTTTTTGTTATTTTAATTTGATTACCTTGAAAATAAAAGAAATTTTCTAGCTCTTTTAAATTCACTATATTAAAAATAAAATCTTACATATTTATATTATTTTAATTGACTAAACTCAAAATGAATGTCATATATCTATATTTGTTATTTTGATTGTGTTTAATTTAAAAATTAAACATTTTTTCAATATAGATTTTATTTTAACAAGTTCAAAATACAATACAATTTACTTTGTTATTTTGAAAATGACTAATTTAAAAAATAAATATATTATTTTATTTTAATATTTATTCGCTTGAAATTAAGTATCTTTATCTTTATAATTTCAAAATAAACTATTATTCTTATTTTAAGGCACTCGTTTAAAATTATATATTTTTAATACTATAATTATTTAAACATGTACAAGAGAACAAGAATTAAGATTATTTATGTACTTAATTAATGAAATCAAATGTTTAAATTTCTTTTATATCAAAACATAACTGCATATACATATGTTAAAAAAAAAAAAAAACTACGTACACATAAAATTGAATTATGATTCATATAATTTACAATAATTGAAAATTATATTTATCTATGAATTAAAAGAATATATTTGCATTACAATTTAGAAAACTTCAATATGTATAATTGTGAATATGGAGGGAAGTGAAACCGAAGCAATTAAATTGTAAAAAAAAATTGAATAATTGGAAATTAGAAAAAGAGAAATGGGAGAAAGGAAGAGTAGTAAAAAAAATATAAGAAAGAAAAATGGTATAACCCATCAAAATAAAAAATAAGAAATAATAAAAAAGGGTGGGACCCACCAAATTTGAGATGTGGTCACATTGTGAGAAGAGTAAAAAAGAGAAAAAATGCATGATTCGATGTGGGACCCACTTGAAGATAGAGAAAATAGATGGAATAAAATAAAGTAAGGTGTTGAATAGTAAACTGGGGGAGTTGAATAGTGGATTTACTGTTCAAATTTGGAGTTTTTAAATCCTTCAATTTAACAAGGAGTGGCGTTTCTTACTCAACTTCACTCCTTGCAAGTCCGTCGCTTGAACGGCCCCCTAGATTTCCCTTTCGGAGCCCGATTTATCTGATAGTAATGAAAATTGTAATTTTAATGTTTATGATTTTTTTGATAGAGAAATCATTGTTTAGGACTCTACTGCTTGTGGTTTGGATCATTTATTGAAGATGGTTTAATTTTTCTATTCAATTAGTTGAAGATAAAGTTTTGATTGAAAATTCTTCTTGTTTTCTTACTGAAGGTAGAAGGGTTATCCACCAGTTGTTCAAAGGCCTTTAATCCTTTTCATTTTAAAGAGCAGGATCTATTAATTGTTCTAAACAAGTTGGCATTACTCTTGTTCCTAACTAGCTAAAGACAAAACCTGTAGCTTCTGATTCCAAGAGGGCGAAATATTCTTACCTAAGTTTCAATTTTTTGTGTTGTTTGGTTTGCTGGTCTGTCGATACGTTTTTGATGGACAGGAGTTTTTCTCCTCTTTTCTTTAGTTCTTGTTTTTTTTATGGTGTTTTTGACTGTTTTTTTTGTCTGTTTTTGAATTTTCTTTTGGGGGCTGTTCTTTTGCCTTACTTTTATTTGGTGGGTAGTTCGTTCTTGCTTTTTTCTAGTATGTTATGTTTGAGGACATATATAGCAAATTCTAAAGTTTGGATTGTATATTATCAAGTCGTGGAGATAGTTTTTTAGTCTTTGAGCTTTATCTCGTGAAAATATTTCCTTTAACTATCTTTACTTGCTTTTGGTAATTCCTTTCGATCCATGTGAAAAATGATGTTATAGAGATACTAGAATGAGGATCGAATTTTTCCTCTGATGAATGCATATCAAATTTTGGACATTATGCACTCGTATTTTGCTTCTACTTTTGGAAATAAGCTGCTCCATTAAGGCTTGCCATTAAATTTACAAATAATAACTCACCAGTCTATTTTTTAATGAGCTGCAGCTATCTTCCTCATCGCCAAATATGAGATACTTCACATTCTTAAAGGCTGATTTTTTCAGTTGGAGACCTAAGGAATTGTTTGACCTCATTTTTGATTATACGTAAGTTGAGATAATGAAAAAAATTATTTCCTATAAGAAGAATCCTACATGATCATTATCGGAAACCATGTAGGTTTTTTTCTGCTATTGAACCTGCTGTGAGACCAGCTTGGGGACAACAGATGCAGAAGCTTTTAAGACCAAACGGGGAGCTTATAACACTAATGTTTCCAGTAATCATCTTTATTTGATAAGTATTCTGTTATATTCTTTTTCCATAAGTTTTATCATTTTTACAAGCATAGAATGCAGAATTTCACCGCACATTTTATTGGATTATTTTTTATTTTTTATGACACCATAATTTTTTAGCGCAATTTATCTTCTCTATCTTCTTGAGTAATTCTAGTATCTTCTCCTTGCTTATTTCTAACAATTTTCTTTTTAAAATAAAATGATGTAGGGTCATATTTGTAAAAGTGGCCTCTATTTGATAATTGGCTAAACTAGCCGTTAAGTTATAGTTGTTGGAAGTAAAAGCCAGCTAATTTGGTTGTTGGAAAGTACTTGTTGGCTTTAGTTGGGCTGGTAGGAAATAGCGATTGGCTTTAGGAAGTTAGTGTGAGGCCCCCAAAATTCACCCCATTCAAGTTAGTTGGTTAGTCCTTAGTAGCTAACATATTATATTAAAAAGAGAAGTTTTGTTGGCTAGAAGATCAAAAGCAAATCTTTAACACCATTAAACTCAAACTAAGCACTACACTTGTTTTGAAGTAGTAGTGAATGCCTCGATTATAGGCATAGGTATAGGTTCTGTCATTTCCCAAGATTGGCCACCAATTGTGTATTATAGCGAGAAACTTAGTGATCTCCGACAAAAATGGAGCCCATATGAACAAGGATTGTAGGCTTTAATTAGGGCCCTACCGAATGCATGTATGTCGGATTTCCTAAATACAAACATCTGATTTCCTAATTAAGCATAAGGATGGCAGTACAAGCAAGGCTATTGATGCCTTAAGATTGAGACATGAAGACATGGCTCGTTGGGCCTTTAACTCTTCTACAAGGAGACACACTATTCTAACTACGAAAGGCCAAAGAGGAAAGGTGTTAGGACCTCAATCTTGAGACATGAAGACATGGCTCGTTGGGCCTTGCACGAGCCAATGTCAAGGTTGTGGGGTGGCACACAAACGTGTGGTATATCATGTGCGGGCTCACAGGATAAGGAGCATGCACATGGTGCTAGTGGGTGGCTAGCATCCCTAGACATGTAGGCGGGCATGGGGCCAAGTGGATGGCCAATGGCCCGCCCGCATGCGAGGGACGGACATAGGTGAGCAGGCAATCAAGCGGAGGCGCGCGCCCCTGCGAGACACAAGATAGCAGGTGCGCGACCTACAGGTGCAAGATGACAAGCGCGTGCTAGGTAGGCGTGTGAGCGTGCGTGTGCGCAACGCTGTATGTGGCTAGTGCACACAACACCAACCCGAAGGTAGCATGGACGTGGGCGTCTTCCATTTATTATGATCGAGTCAAAACCTCCTAAAAATATAAAGAGAGGAAAAGGGGGACAGTGGGATCAAGGGTTCCTAAAATGGGGGAAGTTGTGGGTTCATGGCCAACTTAGTGGCAACTAGAATGGCACCAAGGTAGTGGGATAATGGCTCCTTTTTTGAGGGAGCACTACCCTGGAGTAGTGGGTAGTTGTAAACTATCACTATATAAGGGACAACTTGGGAGTTGTCCTAGCATCCACTCTAGTTCTTACACACTTGTATATTTTCTTGCCCCTAGGTATGGGGAAATTCAAAGGCCTTGTACGGCCTTTGCCCCATTATTGTAGGTGACGATTTCTTATTTCCAAGACAGCTAATGAGGATGAGATTTCTTGCTCCAAACTCTCAAATCTGGCGATGGAGGTAAATCTTCTTGATGCATTTAATCAAGAGAGAGAGAAGATTTTTCGAAATTCAACCTATTTCCTTAAAACAGATAGGCGAAATGGTAGGCCAATCGTCTCATCTTTTGGATCGATTAATTCTTCCAAGGATAACATAGTCAAAAATTCCAAGGCCTTCGATCTCTCAGATGGAGAGGATGACTTTTGTGGTGAGTATAAGTAGCTTGTTCTCCCATCAATTGCAGATCTTCCAGAGGATCCCTGTGATCTTCTCTAGGCCCAGTTTTCTTCGGAAGAAGTTCGTACCTTATTTCCGGAAGATGAAGAGGTTGATGACATCCCTTCTTTTTTTAAAGAAGTAGGCATACCCTTGTACCAATCAACCAAACATTATGAAAATCCTTACCTGGAATGTCAGGGGTTTGAACAATTACAAGAAAAGCTTGGAGATCATATGATTTTGATGAAAATCCTTACCTGGAATGTCAGGGGTTTGAACAATTACAAGAAAAGCTTGAAGATCAAAAGATTCATTCAAAATCATTGTCCTGAGGTGGTTCTTGTACAACAAACAAAGCTTCAACAAATTGATAATTCGATTTCAAAATCCCTCTAGAGCTCAAAAGATATTGATTGGACAAGTTTTACCTCTATTGGCAGATCAGGAAGCATCCTTATCTTACGGGACGAAGCTAGATTAAGTGTTAAAGAAGTTTGTCAACGGGGTATTCTTTAACAATTTTAATTTTCTTTTCTACCTCTAATGATATATGGATAACAAATATATATCGACCAATAGATTATCGTGAAAGAAAGCACTTTTTGGTCTAAGGTTTGTGATCTGTCATGATATTGTGATAAAGCTTGGTGCATTGGTGGCGACTTTAACATCACAAGATGGTCAACGAAAAGGCCCTCAGGGGGAAGACCTCAGGGGGAAGAATCACGAGAGGAATGAGAAATTTCAATAGCATCATCGAGGAGTTGGAATTATTGGAAATTCCTTCGACAAGTGGTAAATTTACACCTAGACCAAAATGGGCAATGATTCCAATCACTCCCTTGCTAGACAGATTTCTAGTGTCTTAGGCCAATAAGTCTTACGTCCTCCATCTATAAAGTTTTGGCGAAGGTTCTAGCGGACCGCATAAAAATGGTTCTACCTTCTACTATATCCGAAACTCAAAGTGCATTTATAGAATGGAAGGAAAATTCTGGATTCAATCCTAATCGCGAATGAAGTTGTGGAGGATTATAAAAGTCATAAAAAGACCGGTTGGCTCCTCAAGTTAGACATTGAAAAAGCATTTGATAGAGTCGATTAGAGCTTTCTTGAAGAAGTGCTTAAACAGAAAGGTTTTGGGAAGATATGGATTAAATAGATCAACAGTTGTGTGACTTGTGAGAGACACTAACTTTTCCATCCTTATTAATGGAAGGCCAAAAATGGAGAATAAAAGCCTCAAGATGTCTAAGACAACGAGATCCACTTTCTCCTTTCTTATTCGTTTCGGTAGGTGATGTTGTAATTAGTCTTTTGGAGAGCTCTTATTCAAAAGGTTACTTCGAGGGGTTTTTAGTAGGAAACAATAATGTGCACATCTCCCACCTTCAATTTGCAGATGATACTCTACTCTTTTGCAAGGACAATGACGTTATGTTGAGGAATTTATTCAATTCCATCGAGGCCTTTGAATGGTTGTCTGGTATGAAAGTAAATTGGGATAAATCAGCACTTTGTGGTGTTAATATCAAGCAGCAGCGTGTTTTACAAGTGGCGGGCAGCTTCAATTGCAAGTTTGAAGTTTTACCTTTTATTTATTTATTTTTTTAACAAGAAACAAACTTCTCATTGAATTAATGAAAAGGAATGAAAATGTTCAAAGATACAAACTCTCGAAAGAGTGAAAAATGAAATAAAAATAACTGAAAGATAACAAGATAAACTCAAGAATTAAGAGATAAGCTAAAAGCTCCCCAATTATAATAGATAAGGGAGGGAGAGAAATTTTCAAACAAAGATGACATGGAACACCACTGTGAAGCCTTAAGTTTAGCCAAACTGAATCGATCCAGTGGAGGTTTGCGACGGTCTTTGAAGATTGATATTTTTCAAGCTGTTTGGAAGACAAAATGTCCCAAGAAAGTCAGTGTTCTGACTAGGATTTTACTCGAAGGCCAAAGGCAAGGTGAATACCACAGACACACTCCAAAGAAAGATACCTAATATTGCTTTATTTCCATCAATTTGTGTGCTGTGCAAGGGAGGTGGGAGGTGAAGAACAGCTCATGTCTTCTTTCATTGTTCCTTTTCCAAGATTTGCTGGATGCTTCTCTTCATTATGTTTTCGCTAGAGGGTTTTGGATTTTGATGTACCAAGTAATATCATTCATCTCCTCGGTGCTTTGTTCTTTAGTCATAAAGCTTGGCTATTATGGGTGAATGGAATTAAGGCCATCTTATCATAGCTGTGGTTTGAACATAATCAAAGGCTATTCGAGGACAAAAGCAAATTCTCGGAAGATTGTTTCAATTTAGCAAGATTTAAAGATTCTCATTGGTGTTCCTTGATGATTCTTTTTCTAGCTATTCTCATGACATGATACGTTGTAATTGAGAGGGTTTTATACCTCCTTAGTAGCTTTTATCTTGGTTCTTGGAGCTTTGTGTTTCTTGCTGTTACTAGGGATGATCATCAGTCGGTCAGAATCGGTTTTTGGCTCAAACCGACGTCAACCACTGACAAGTTCGGTTTCCGTCAGTTTGAGTTCGTCGGTTTTAGAAGACTCTACGATTCCGA